CCTCATATATTTTATAAGTTTTTTAAAAATATTTCTCCTAAGTAGAAAATTCTATTTACGAGCCTAATAATATCACTCTTCACTTTAACATGAGATGTTACGTGATATACATATGTCAATTTGCCTCTGCTCGACGCGACACGATTGCCTAATGGCTGACTGTACTTCGGTTGCATCACTATTTCGCAGCCAGCGCCCGCGGGGAGTTCGGTCGGACTTATGACTGTCCGTTGCTACTTCGCTTGCGAGATCCACTTCCCGTCCCGTGACTTTCTTAAACTACTCGCGCGTTCCATCATACGCCAACGCTCGTTTAGCCGTAATAGCTCGAGACTTTATCATCGTAGCTATCCGAGGAAGCGGTGCACTCCAGAAAATATTAGCAGAACAGTGCGAACCCCGCTTTTTAAATAACGTTAATAGAAAAACACTCTGAGTACGAGAGAACCATTTCGATGTGAGAATAAACGCATCATACTTTTTATTATTTAATTGCCGGAAGAATGGTTGCCTCCTCGCAGTGGAGAAACAGTTATTGCTTTATTAGATAAAGTTATATCCTTACTAAAGAGAGACTACGAAATATTTGCGTCAAGACTAAAGCTATAATTCCTAATGTACTTGCACGGGTTATTACACGGCTATGCTTGAATTACAACTCCTTGTTTGGTGGGAGAAACTCAGGCTAATACAAAGAGCAAGAGAGAACAGCAGGTTCGAGAGCACAACTCACAATGAACATAAATCATAATGCTCTCTTCCAAGGACTTTACGACTTGCATTAACGTAAGCTGAATTACTATTTCAACAGAGTATTTTTCTGTTAAGTGAACTATACGTTTTTAATAATTACTGCTATTCAGAATTATACAGATATACTATAAATTATTAATAGAACGCGTGCCACCTAAAAAAAAGTCGTTTTATACTGATTTGATACGATTAGAAGAATGTGATGAGAAAAGAAGAAGAGATGGGTGTAGAATTTCAACTGGATTCCTGTGTATATAAATTTTTTTATACTAAATCTGTCTTAGGTGAGGTAGGCAAGGAGATGTACATAGTGAACAGAGGCCGGCTGCAGGTGGTTGCCGATAACGGGAAGACGGTCCTCGCTACCCTTAAAGCGGGTTCCTACTTCGGGGAGATCAGCATTCTCAATATGGGGACTGCAGGTAAAGAGTGCGGTAAATATTCCAACCGGACCAGGGGCCCGTGAGCTGTCCCCCTCGTATTTCACGATCACGTTTTCACGTTTCACGTTCTTACCACGTTCTGTGAGAGGGCAAGCCGTCGAGCCGGTATGAGCCGATAAAAAAAAGAAAAACCGATCTTTCTACCATCATCTCTCTACTCTCGTACTCTGTGTCTATCACCGACGTCCCTATTGTCGAATTCCACACGTTAAAATGCACACGACGTTCGCGCAACGAACCGACGAGGGTTCCTTACGAATAATATTAACTGTTAAATGTGACAGTGAGCGTAATTTCGAAAATCAATAATTCTTATACATATAAGAGTCACATATTGATGTTATAAATCAATAACTTTCATCTCGTTGATAAAAAAATTTGCTTATCTTTACGATCGAGGAGAACTGAATCTGAAAGCCATTCAGTAACTGTTTGGTTGCATCTTGTCATCCACTATACCATTATCCGGCTAGTGGAGTTATCAACTTTAATACGATAACGCGCACTTGAAGTTTTCTTGTTACATCTGCATCCACAAATATCGGGCAAGAAAAAGTTGTTCGATATCACCGTATCGATACAAAGCTCGCGGCGCGGTATATTCAATGAATCTGAATAACTGACCATCGTTCACTTTGTTATTCCAATTTGAACAACGCCTTTCATTCTTCCATTTGAATACATTTCGTTCATTGTTATTCAACAGATTTTCCGAATCTCAGAAATTCATGCGTGAGTCATGACGATATATTCGCCCCGTAGGAATCTCGCGGTATGTCACACCCAATTGAACGGGGCTACCGCTTTAAAAGGATGAACAGTAAAAATAGAGTGATCGACGCTTGACTGGATTTATAGAAGAAAGTTGAGAAAACTTTGAGATATAAATTTTAATACTGCCCACCTTTCAAAGAATTAAATCTATTAATGTTTTAAAATATAATTGCAATAAAAGAGAATGAAACCCTCGTGCGTTGCGAATTTTATTTTTATAAACGAGGCGTACGTGCGTCCATGTATGTAAATCCTCTCGTCCTATCTCACGCTCTCGTACATCGTGCAATTTTATAGCCGCAGCTGAATTAGTGGGAAAATCAATGAAACAAAGTCGTTGCGAGATCGTCGATGCGTATTGAACAAGGCCCGTGACACGTATTGCCCTTTAGCCTTTGCCCCTCTATTTTTATCGATTATTGTCTTCCAGCCGATAAGCCGACACGACCTATCGAAATGTAATAGATATCATACGAAAATAAATGATGTTTTATAACACCGGTGACTTCGTACGCGGTCTCGGCCGTGACAAAAATATAAAACTGTCCCGAAAATACAAGGAATAAGTCTATGCCTGCGCTGAGTGAAAATCAATCGCGGGTCGTGTCGGTCGATCGATCGCAACCGGAGAACGATATACAGTCGATCGCAAAAGTATCTAACCAGCTTTCATGAATTCCGTTGTGAAATTACGAACTTCTAAAGAAAAGAGATTAATCAAAATCTATTTTAATAAAACGGAAGTCTGAAGAATCGGAGATGTTCGTCGAAAGTAGAATTTGATTTAATCTTTTATCTGCAGGCATAATTTTACACGTTTATTCGATGTACAAGGTGGTCGGTTAGTTTTGTGATCGACTGTCATTCTAGTCACTTCTATTTTATCATGCTTCTGTAGAAATCTTAGAGTACTTAGTTTTATTAGAATTGATCCACTTGGAAAGTTGAACATGTTCCTTCAGCATTCTTTGATCTATCTTCTTCATTTGCCGATCAATTTGCTTCTGACATGCTGAGACCTTTTTCATTGTCCTTGATTTTCTTCAACACGTAGAAGGAAATATTTGCGAGTATTAGAAATTTTTATTAACTGTCCAAATGGACATCAGTTTTGTTATTATAAAATAATATTAAATTAAATTAAATTAAATTAAATTAAATGCACTTCATATAATTATTAATTATTAACAAACTATCATGATTCGATGGTTTAAAAATAATATTAATAAATTCTCAAGTGGACTTATGTCAAACGTATAAAATGATAGTGAGAATTGATTTAGAAGTAGGCTATAACTTTCGACGATCATATTTTTCTTCCCTCCATCAATTTATCTGCCACTGACTGTATTTTTCTTTTCACGAATTTATCCTCCCCCGAGTGTTTCTATTTTATTTCTTTTCTTCCGTAGTAGCCACGCAAGACGTAAAAATAAAATTAACATAACAAATATTTCCTTCGTTCAAATTTATTTTTATACTTTCTTACTGTTTCCAGTGCACTTTTCATGTTATAATATTTTTCACGATTCTCTAATTACCATTATCTCTTACCACGTAGGTAGCTTCTTTTAAAAATTACTATGACTTATTTCTTGTAATGATGCGTGCTCACTTTACGGATGTGACTAATCTGCATTCGGATTTAACTTTGTTTTATACATTGACTATAGTAGTTAGCATCCTACATGCCATAAAACAGATTTCGTATTAACACTCTTAATAGCATAAATGAAAATTCATGATATTTAGAGTTACAAACTGGGCACACAAAATCATACGTTAAAACTAATAATTCCCATATAAAAGAAGTATAAGTAAACTACATGTATAGAACATTTTGTAAATAAATAAAATAAATTTTGTAAATTATAATTCTCCGCACGTTTGGTGTTACATGTTGAAATTGTTACGTTATTATATAACAATGTCTCAATAATGTCGATAAGTGTTCACCCATTTGAGTGTAATTAACTATAAAACGATCCAGCTTTAAAACATTTTAATGTACTTGCAAAAAACCTTATTACACTTCGACACGATTATATTATTCAGTAAGAAAGTAATATTTCAACCCGTTTACGCGCACATGATATGGAATTCACACAGTTTCTACCTACATGCTATGAAATTTTGTCAAGCATGATTTTGGTGGCTCGTGAGCCGAGATTATTATGGCTTTAAATTACCTACTCTTAATTGACGTCGGCGTTTATGGTAGCCAGACGACAAACGATGCGGGATCGAGGAACGATCGTTCGGTCGATCGGTTCCGAACGGATACAAAAGCTAGCTTGACACATCCTGATAACCAATAAATGGCTACATCGACGCAGGTAATCGGCGAACAGCCAGCGTACGCTCGGTGGGCTACTCGGACCTCTTCGTCCTCAGCAAGAAGGACATGTGGGACGTTCTCAAGGAGTATCCCGCGGCCAGGATCAGGCTCGAGGCGATTGCAGTCAAGCGGCTGGAGAAGTACAAGAGGGCTCCACTCGAGAAAGGTGAACCATAATATCAATTTTTATAATCCCTTATTATGATAACACGGTCGAGATTTATGCCAGATCGATACCTATATTCACTGCTGGTTTCTATACCAAGACGTACGGTGCGGATAGGAATATTTTATTCTCATAGAATATTTATTCCTTATTGCCGTATTTCAAAGGATTACGAAAGATTGAATGGATCGCGGTGAGGAAAAATCAAAAGCAGATTGAGATAGGGTGTGAAAAAAGTTTTGGTCCACGGTCGTGTCGACAACAGGCGTGACCAAGCCACGGGGGTTTGATTAATTAATCCGGAAGTTGAACGCAAAACAAACTCAGGGTGTCTCTTCGTTTTTCGTGGCGACGCTACTTTCGCTGAAAGAAAGTTCGCACCACGCCGCGCCATTGCAAACGAACTTTCGAACTGGTGAATTTCACCGTGCGGTGTATGCGTACTTAGGAGAGTCTGCAAAGTTGTAGTAGGTGTACTTGCGCGTATATATGTATACATATACATACAAGGAGCCCGGTATCGGGGTGCGTGCGCGCACTCGACTGCAGTGGTTGCACAATGAGAAAAACGGTGGCTTAATTAAAGAAGCCGTAGCGAAAATGAGGAACCGCGCGGCGGCGCGGCGTAGAATTGCCGAAGCGAAGGCAAATCTACACCCAAGCCGTTCTTAAACAAAGAACGACGAACTTCGTGAAACGAAATGATCATTCACTGTAGAATTCCGAAACTGGTTTACCTCTACAGATCCGACTCGTAATAACTAACAATCTAACTAATTAAACTACTTTGAATATCAGACTGATTATACCTACAATGACGACGAGCAAACATTGTATGCATACCAAACAAATTGAAAGTTGTACGGGGAGTACGGGAATACGTATTAACAATGGTATCTGTGCACCGCGCATTTAACTTTTGAAGGATGCTGCAGATGTTAAATACCCTTTTGTGCGTTCGTTGTGGAGGAAACGTTTTGGATGAACGCGTTATCAGAGCTGGAAAACGTTTCGCGAACTTCGCGGTTGTGCCCGGTCATGTTTAACGCGCGCGATACCAACTTTCAGCCGCAATGGGACGATGCCAGAGCACGCCGGGTCTCGTGGAGTCGAAAGGTCGTATACCGTTGGAGGAGATGTGGGTCTCGGCGATGGAGACGAAGTCGGTTCACGCTTACTCGACCAGCCGTACGTTATTTTCGCCCAGCCCGAGCCCCGTGACGGCGCGCGGTTTGACCAGCACCGGGGACAGCGCCCACGTTGCCAGGAGAACGGAGAGCCCGATGAGTGCCGCCAGCAGCCACAGCAGCGAGGAGCAAACCGGCAGGGCTCCGCAGTCCGCAACTACTCAACCCTCAACGGGCAAGTATTCCTTTGAGCCAACTTATTCTACAAACAACGCGATGCGCGTTCCTTTATCTTGACAAACTATGGAATCATCATTTTGAAACTCTGCCTTCATTTTTATATAAAAACGGTATTATTTTATTAATAATTCGATTGTCTTTTTCAGGCGCGATTAGCAGCATGGCGCACTTAGACAGCGAAGGTGCGACGCCGCTTTTAGGCACTAACGAAGCTTTACTGGCCGAGATTAAACGTCTTCGGGAACGTTTAATTTGTTTGGAGTCAGAGAACGCGGCGATGAGCGCTAAGCTGAATCAACAGCAGTGGGAAGTGGAGAATCGATTGGCCGAAATCGAGATGCAGATCTGCCGCACTAGCTCGTCCTCCAGCTTGGAGGACAACAACGAGAGAAATCGGGAAAGTATCATTTAACAAGAAACAAGGCCGCGAGAGCGCGGCAAAACTAAGGTAGCGCGGACGCGACGCTATTTGGACGGCGCTACCGACGACAGGTACGCTACCTGAATCCCACCATTTAAATGAATACGCAAGAAGAATTATTTTTTATATTTCAGCCAAGTCTGTGCGTTTTCCTAAGCAGTGGGAAATTCTGTTACAGGTACATAATGGACGACCGAGAGGAATTCGAAGAAGCGAGGATTTCCGGGAGATCAAGCGACACGAAATCAATTGGTAGCCTTAGTCAACATTTCTTCGAGAGCGACGAGGAAGAGAAGTATTTCGGGACGTGCAACGGTTACGCTTCTCAGCCTGGCAGCAAGTCGAATTTGCTGTTATGCAGCGAATGCGACCAGAAGACCCGTACTTGCACGTACAGGCCGCAAACGCCCGGCTCCTACAGCGTCAGATACGTCGAGGAGCGCTTCGACGACCGAGCCGCTCAAGAGCCGGGAACGTCTCGCATGTACAGAAGCCCGGTCCACTCCTCGCCGCGGTCTCTGTACCACGAGCAGGATTACAGCGGTCAGTCGTCCTCGCCCAGGTCGATGTACCTCGAACAGGATTATCGTTGGTCGAGGAAGTACGATCAGGGAAGGGATTACGAGGGCGGGAACGCGGTGCGGGACGACGAGGACGACGACAGTCCCATCTGCGAACTTTGTCACGGGAACGGTCAACTTGCTCAGTGCGAGCACTGCGACTTTTCCAGCGACGGTGATCTAATATGCTTCCGGTGTCAGAGCGAGGGCTCGAACGGGTCGAACGGTCAGAGTTGCCCCCGCTGCGAGAGGATGAGTAGATTAGGATCGCAGAGGGGGGCGACGTCGTCCAGCGACGAAGGCAAGTACCCGGTGGACGCCGTGGTCAAAATTCAAGTTAACGATCGGAGCATAGACGTGGACTCGGACGATACAGCCGACAGCGATGTGTCGAGCAGCCATCATCACCAGAGGAGCACGGTGGAGCGGCTGGATACCATCGTCGAGGCAAAAGGAGACACTGCCAGTGAAAATGACGAGGAAAACGGCGGTACAAAGATAAATGGAACTAACAGCGCAAGATATCTCAATTATATGATCGTACTGTTTCTGTAAATAAATGGTAAAGGTAGCTGCAGTTGAGCTATGGATTACGTTGGTAAATGGAGAGTATTGTTCTGTTGAAAAATTAGGTTCAGATATATGAAATATTGTTATAATATCATACTATTCGTGCTAGTAGTATTAATAGTATACTATTATAACGTTCCCAGCTCTGTAAAAATATAACATTTTTATAGAATCGTCCTACATCGGATTTGAACTAAAACGGCATAATACAAAGTATAGTGTCCACCATCGAACTATAAATGCATAGTGCAACTAGAATTCCAATAAATATTCAAATATTTATTTTAGAAAGCTGTAGGCAGCTGTATTTACGTTACGTAGAACCCTAATTTCTAATAACAATAAGAGATGAATTATTTTACTGTGTACCATAAAATTAGACATTATAAGAATTGACGATTATGCTCTTTTAGTCATTACATTTGCAATACTTGTGTACAGAATTCAAACGATTGGCTTTACACATTGCTCAACAACGAAACTCTCCATCGAAGACGAGAACATTTTCGAAAGTGTTTTTTAACAGTGATCGCAGCTTTTAAAAATGTTCCGCGCTTCACTGCTCGTCAAGACATCGAAATTCGTTGCCGTATGGTATTTTCGGCGCCGTGGCTCAACTCGCATGTAAATAAACTGCCAAAGGAACATTCATTCGTATCGTTGTAGGGCCGTATAGTTTAATGGTTTAATAGGTAACTCGTAATAATATCAAAGAAAAAAAAAAAGAAATATGAGGCGAATGAGAGAGTGAAGCGAGAAAGGGAGAAATCTCTTACGTTATGTTCGACGCGCGCAGTGTTGCCGGGAGCTGAGATCCGTAATGCAACGATCGAAACGATACCATGCGCGACTTTTAGAATGGGTTTGTGCAGAAATCGAATTACTCTTGAACCTGCATTTCAATTTTTCTCAATCTTTTTCGCCCCCAAAAAATGTTTACTTAAAAGAGAGATTTCGTGTTTTCTTAAAAATAAAAATAAATTGAAAGAATCGCTGTATAATGCTTAGTTACGTTGAACGAAAAGAGAACTAGTCTATACGATTGTTATTCTATAATATAGATTCTAATCTATTTATTGTACTTATCGTGTATTAATTGCCATAAAGAATTGCGTGAATGTGTTAAGTGTAGAATACGTTTGTATTGTACGATATCTCAGACGTTTCGGTTATCAACTGATAAAGATTTGTACACAAACCTGTACTAACTCATGTTCGGGACCAACTAAAGCCACCATCTGCATCACTGCTTCCAACTTCTACTTTCATTTCCGGTCATTACTCTCTTTACATTATTTTCAATCTATAACATACAAAAATAAAATAGAATTTTCTATTCATACCCTTCGATTATTGAAGTTACTTTAAATTATATGATTTACATTATCAGATTTAGTTTTATTGTCAGATTGGTGAATAAGTCGTCTAGGAAAAATATGAAATAATACATGAATTCTTTAAATTTTACAATTATCTACGTACATTCTTTTCAATGCGCCGGAAACTAAAATACATAAGAATTTCGAATATACATATATATATTTCGACCAGAACAAAGCAGCTATAACGAGTCGTATTATCAGCTTTGAAAGTTCAATTGAGGTAAACGACAATTAAATTCCTTATCCTCGTACCAAAAAACACAAAATAAGAAAAAAAAAAAGATATTTCTCCTTGAGGGCCTCAACGGGACCGAATTTCCCCAGATTCGAAAAATCAAAACGGGATCACGACCCTCCTTCCTCAATTTCACATCATAATTATATTTATGTACCTAGATTTCATACTAGACACAGATTTTCATCGTTTACGAGCCCTATCGCATACGTTCTATGTTGAATTGAAATAGTATCGTAGCCAGTGTTGCGAGAATATATACATACACTTCTCTTTTAACAAATGAACAGTATTATCAACATCCGAACATAAAATATAATTGAAATTACTTGATCCATTTAATTATTAGATTAAAACGGTGCCAAAACAAAAATATGGAAATGTAATTTTCATGAATATCTTATATGATACATTTGTGCGTGCATTTTGGTCTCGCAACACAGAATACGATTTTTTGGAGGTAGTGCCAAATATATTTTTTCCATAGATAGTTCGAACAAGGTGAAAAGTGCAAACACTGCACGCATTAAGTATCAGTAACATTTAATTACGGGGAAAGCAAGCTCCAGACTCGCCCGTTTGTATCATAAAAAAAGAAAAAAAGAACGAAGGAGGCAAGAGAATAAATCCTCCGAACTACAAAATACGAATCGATTTGTAATAAGGATAGCGACTTTTTTAGTATTTATAAATCATCGAATAGACTTTAAATAGTTGAATACATTTTTTTTAACGTTCACTTCTCACTTCGTAAGCAAGCCGCACGTTTATCGCTTGGACCGGCGAAATTCAGGATTAAACGATACGCGTGATTCCCAAAAACGAAAGCAAAAATAAATAAATGAAGACAGGGGGGTGGGAAATATGCGCGAAGGGTACATTGCATAGTCGTATATAGTTAGTTTCGAATACTGTCGAGAGACATGAAAGATTTTATGGGACTAGAGTCGACGTCATCCGTATGATATTCACGGCGATAGACATTATCAAGAATACACCAGTAACTGTAAGGAAGTAAATTGTGAAGTGTATCGATACCCAATTAACTACAGTGTCTCGAAGCAAGAACGCAGAGATTCATATTAAAATACAATATAATTTCAAATTACAAAATAAAATGCACTTCATTTATCTAAATAAAATGTTGGCATAATGATTGACTAACTATTCTTAAAAGAGGATTTCTGTAGACTTGTTATTATAAGAGTAATGTTTAATAATTGAGAAGATCGAGTTACTTCGTTTTTGCGGCGAGACATCGGGATCGTACACAATTCTACTGCCACGTTCTATAACTAGGAAGAACTTTTGAATCATTGAATACCTAGTCCTATACAATACATCGTCGCAAGATCATTATATAGAAAATTGTACGACTAAAATCTCTTTCCATTTTATAAAGTTCTACGGGAAATCGGATTCAGTAATAATCTATCGGTGTTACACAACGCTATACAACAGAATTCATTTAAATTGTTGGTAAAAGGCAAGATAACGCAGCGTCGTCTTTAACGATAAAATGGAGAGAGAATTCTCAGTCGGTTTCAAATGGGAAACGGAGTCCGTTTAATCAGCCTTACTTATACAATTATTATCTACATTATTATACTAAATTTATAAGCATGATTTGTGTACGTATATGTATGTCGACGTACCTACTTTTAATTATAACCCTGTGAGAATGTTGTGAACAACGACAAAATCTCTGAGCAACGCATGGCTTTATATATTGTACACATATGTATGTAAGTAGTATATTTCAAATTAATTATTATATTCTTTTCTCTCTCGTGGAGGATATATTATTTATCTTCGTTACTTATAATCGTGAACATTTATAAATGTGCAATTTTGGGCTATTTAAATGGCTGTGATATATACGTGTGCGTTTCAAATGTATAAGTTATTCAAATGATTATTATTTCTTCATAACTGTTTATTTGTATTGTGTATATTATTCATTCGTTTTCGAAACTGTTCAAAAGTTGTCGGAAATATTTTCGTTTATTAATCAGCCCGTTGCTCTGAGTGATTCTATTTCATAGTATAAAATATTTCGAGACAAAGCATTAAAACTGCTGACGAAAAATTTACGAACCTATTCAATATTCTAAGCCTTCCAATATCTTATTATGTATCAATATCGTTTCAGAGATACTAGATTTATAGTTAGATACTTTAGGCTCCGTCTTTAATAAAATTTTCTTACCTTTACATGGAACTTAACAGAGGATAACGTAAAAAGTAATACACGTAGCTATAAATTCAGCATTCACGTTCATTTCTACAACCATCGGAGAAGCAACTGAAAAGCATCATCATTGTTCGATTTGTTTTCACAAAAAATTGCATTCATATTGAAATGTCGAGATAACGCAGAAATACAAATCAGGAACGTACATCCATAATGTATTACAGTGTCTCTGAAACCCTTGAATTATGCGGTAAACGGAGTAAATTCGACAATGACTCGAGCTCGCTCCTAATCGCGTTAGTTTTTATTCGATTTTGAGATGCTCGAATTTACACGATCGATACGGTTAATCAAATGATATATTCGCGGTATAAATTACTTCACGACTGTTTGCATGGTTATTGACTTTATTGAAATGTTTATCGGTGTTGAGAAAACGAAACGAGACGCGCATACATGTACAGAAGCGGTCTCGTGTTATTATTAGCGGGGACGTGAAAGTTTGTTAAATAATCGAATGTGTACGGCGTCGGCCGACCGATGGGATCGATTCTACGTTGTATTACCCGATTAATATCTTCTGCATGGAAATATCCTGGTCACCTAATCAATGCATATTGTTACACATTGTTTAATTTAAGCAAACATTGAACGAAAAAGAGGGCGAACATTCGATAGAACCACGTGTGTATATTCGAAGTCAATAGTTGAAATTGTTCGTTGAGCGAAAATTTCTGTACTCATTTTGTGGATTATCCTGAAAAAGACGCAACGATTATGGCTTTGCGTCTCATTCAGTAATCTTCTTCCTTCGACTCGAGATCAATTAATTTAAGTAGTATTTTTTATAATATAATAACCATTTAATTCATTATAAAATATGTTTGCCTGAATTCCATTTACATCACACATTTTTAATTATGTGCTTGACGGTATG